ACTTAAGCAGGATCTGATTATAACAAAAATTTCTTTCTGACCCTGAGCAGAAGAGCAAGTCAAAATCTGGATCAGATTCTCAGCATTTCCACGATTAATGGTGATTAAGAATCTTAAAAAAGCCCAACTGAGCAACCCAACTGCTGTCAAGGTGTTTACAGGTTATTCCCAGAGGACAAATGTTAAGAGTCTGAACTATGTTTCTTCACAAAAGGTACAGTCAGCGCACCAGATTCTGTCCTCAATCTTTGGGGGGAGCTTGTGTGCTTAGAAAGGGAGCTCCCTTGGATGACAGCTTTAATATTTGGACTCTCTAGTGGGAGGATGAGGGAAAGCATAACGTACCCGAGGCTGCTTTTCAGCCACTAATGTAGCCCCCAGATGCTGTAGTAGCCTTTTAATCTCACATCTCAAATCTTCAGGGAAGTGAAACCCATAGACCTACTGGCGTATTCCTAAACCTCGTCCTTCCGTGGCAGTGCTGGAAACGACCCATCTCCAACACATCAGGAATCTCTGCACACCTGGATTTGGGGTGTTCTTCCCCTTTGGCAGCTTCTCCAAACCATCTACCACCCAGCCTTATAAAACACAAGAACCACCCTAGTCCTCTTGCTTCCCTCAACCTCACAACCCCTCCCCAGGGAGCTTGTGTTCTTCATCCTGGTGGCACACTTCCTTTTAAGGAAAAATACCTGCTTTGTTCTCCTTCCAGAAGACAGTGATATGCAGCAATGTCTTTCTCCAGCTGTTGTTTGCTGGTCAGCAGATTTTCACGATCCCGCTGTTGCTGCTCGGTTTCTACTTTGATTTCTCCCATCTCTGCCTCCAGCTTGGAAATGACAGAGCCTAGGTTCTGCAGTTCGATGTCGTGCCAGTGCTTAGCATCGTATAAAGAGTTCTCCAGACCTCTCTTCTGTAAGGGCAGGACAGCAGACATTAAAACAGTTTTCATATGCTTTATAGTGATTTTTATTCAGGTTTGGCCAATATCTCTATTGAATATGCTTAAGTGGAGATGTAACATTTTGACAATTCCTTTCTTTAGATACTTTGAAAAATGTGTATTATCATTACAAAGATTGAACTACTTTGATTACAAGGCACAGATATTCTTCACATTGTCAAGTACTACCCACCCAGCAATCTCAGTGAAATTGTTATTGAATATGAAGACACTGAAGACTGACATTTGGGGCCCGGTTGTCAAGTGGGGTACACTTAGTGCACCATGTCAATCAAGAAGAGCCTGGAAATGTCTGCCATCTCTGGAAACAGTTTCTGCTGGCAAAACGGGATTTATTCTGAAGTCCGCATGCCAAGACAGGAATGTTTTCCTCAGAAAGCATGTTGAATTCACACAGACTATACCCCTTGAAAACACAACATTACTTACCAAGGTTCTCAGAGATTCGGTTTCTGCTTGCAAGCTCTGTATTTTGCAGGCAGTTTCGTGGAACTCGGTTCTGAGGCCCTCCACCAGCTCTTCCTCCTGGGTTCGCACAGCAGCCGTTGTTTCAGCCTGTTGCTGGTAAAAGATTGCCACTGTCCTCGCAGCCTACTCAAATATTGTTTTAGTTGCCTTACACACCAAACTGACAGTTGATATTTTCGCAGTGTGTGGCAATTCTGACTTAAGTTTGATACTTGTGTATTAAATTCCTTGGCTGAACAATTCTGGATACTTCTTAGTATCAAAATTAGCACATTTTCCATGCATTTACTGTAAAATGGCTTATACACGTAGGTGTATACATTTTATCTATGTCAACATCCATACTAGTACAATTAAAATTACCTATAAAAACAAAATGTTGCTGTAATTCTTCATTTTGTATCTACATTATGATAGTTTTTTTAAAGTTAAGTGTTTTCACTTAGTCTAATGGATTTCAACAGAATTCGCACCTTGATTTGTCACATAGGATTCTATGAGTCAGAGAGCAAGTCATAACACAGGTCAGAAAAGTAATTTCTGTTAACTGAATTAAGATATTCTTATGCAATTGTTACTTGTGGGTTTTAATATGTGTTAGTTCAGACTCCTTGAAAATAGGTGAAGGAAAAAGTACCTTAGTAAAAATAAAATTTCTGTACTTTTTAATGAGGGCTGAGATCAAGGTTTTTAATCCAGACCTCTGGGCTCTCTAGCAAATACAATTCCTCAGTCAAAACCTACATTTCTTCTGGTTCATGCTGAAGTTAAACTATGCAAAATACTTCCATTCCACTGTGAAAATTCATCTTGACCCTGTCCTGCTTTTCTGATTATGGATTCTTTTATTTTAAAAGTAAGATAAAATTTAAAAAAAAACCTGGGACCATGCACAAGAAATTATTTTTATAATTTATTTTGGTACCATCATGTGAACCCCACACCTTGGTCATTATGAGTGAAACAATCTCAGGTGCAAAAGGTCATTCAAGTACTAGTTGTCTCAAACAGAACATAGGATTTATGAATCCGTGTTTCAGAGGGTTGAATTTCAATCCAAATACCAAACCTGTCCTTTCCAGCAAATTGCAAAGAGCCTGTATTTTCCAGAAATACTTTATAGGGGCTTGTGCTTCAGAGAGACATAATCCAACCTTTCTAGTCCTGGTGAACCCAGCCTAGTGATCATGGACCTGCTGCTCTGGAGTAATTTGTGTCTCCTAAGTTGTGTTGAGACCATAGTCTGTGCGTTATTATGGTACAAGAACTATAAATGCCTCTCTTCAAAGAGAACATAGAGCAGGGAGGGTGCCTTTGCATTTGTATTTATAGCCTACACCCATTACCTGAAGCCTGGCATCTCTCATTCACATTTACTCTGCTGGGGGCCCAAGTGCTGCCTATAAATCCAATTTGCCCTCACCACAGGTGATGTTGAATCTCCTCCAGGAGTTACTCTAAGCTGTCATGGCTACCTGACGTTAGTGATGCGAATGACAGAACAGGCAGATGGAGTAGACGGAGGTGGCCACATCAGACCCTAAATACCAAGGATGACACAGCAAGTAAGCACACGCTGAATGAGCCCTAAAGCTTTTGGTACATGCAAGGTTTTCCCATCCTCCTTACAGGATTACCAGCTGAATTGCCCCAAGAGTCAGCATGGAGGGTGCTGCTGGGCATGACACCTGGGCTCAGCTTTGGGGTTCCTTCTGTGGAGAAGTGCAGACGTAGTCTTTGGGTGCTCTTCACTAGGCAATTCATGTTTTCTGGGGGCTCTGCTCTTCCTATCCCTGCGATGCTCCACAAGGGAAAGGCTATACCAAATTGTGGTGCCCACGAGCAACTGGATTAACGGAGGGAGAGGATGAAATCATCCTCCTAAACCTTTATCATTTTGGTGCTTGAGTTTCCTAGGAATGTGTGGATTTCAAGCACGTCTGTACAGTTCTGAGCCAGGCATTATGCAAGAGTGTAGAATCTCTCATTAGTCGGTTTTTCATGGAACCAAGATAATTAAAGGATGATCAGGGATAGAACACCAACATCCAGGGTTTGATCAGCATGATATCTGCAGAATGAAAGTGGCTTTGATAAGCTCTTAAGAGTTTTGGGCATGTGTTAGCAATAATTCACAAGACTTTTCAAAACCTTTTTATGGGATCTAGCATAGGGGATGACAGAGGAAGCTGTGCAATCATGTGCTCAGGGCAGAGCATTGCCATGGATCAACAGCTGGTCAAGGGACAGGACATGAAGCAGAGGATTAAGGTCTAGTTCCATCATGACAGAAGTTTAGCAGCTTGATGCCTGAAGGTTTACTGCCTTGGGGATCAACCAACATCCAGGGTTTGATCAGCATGATATCTGCAGAATGAAAGTGGCTTTGATAAGCTCTTAAGAGTTTTGGGCATGTGTTAGCAATAATTCACAAGACTTTTCAAAACCTTTTTATGGGATCTAGCATAGGGGATGACAGAGGAAGCTGTGCAATCATGTGCTCAGGGCAGAGCATTGCCATGGATCAACAGCTGGTCAAGGGACAGGACATGAAGCAGAGGATTAAGGTCTAGTTCCATCATGACAGAAGTTTAGCAGCTTGATGCCTGAAGGTTTACTGCCTTGGGGATCAACCATGAACTAGAAGGATTTACGGATGCAAAAAACAATATAGAGTGGCAATGAGCAGGGGTGGGTGTGTGGAATCAAACTACATGAATTAACAGTGCCACGTCATTAAGTAAAGCATGATTTGGGGGAAAATATTAAGCAGCTTGCATGCCTTACAAGGGCTTAAATCGCTTGTGTCAATTCAGGAAAAGGTTTTGAGCATTATGGACAAAAAAGTGCAGAGTTCAAACTAATAGACTGGAGTTTTGAGGTTACTTACTCATCTAAAAATACCTGTGTGAAACCCAGTTAGGTATGAATATAAATTGGTATGCTTTGAGGCAAGGGAATCGGTCAGAAAAGTAACAAAAAGCACTGCCCTGACATCTAAGTCAGTGCTAGGACACCATTTGAAATACCTTATTCTCAACTCGTCACAGCTACCCCAAAGGGTGGGTGCAGAGAAAGGAAATTAAAGCATTACGGACCAAGGAAAAGTCACAAAGAGAGGCTGAAGAAAATATTAATGAAGAGCAATAAAGGAGACGAGGGAACTACTCTCTCTCTGGTGTCGCAAAAGAGCAAGGACAAATTTTTCACAGTTGTGGATAACCAAATGGTGCAACTTAGCCACATAAGATGACGTTAAGTCCACAAGCTTAGCTGAAAAAAGAGCTGGGCATAATTATCAGAACTTTTGTTATCTGTATAAATAGTAATAATTCTGAATAGACCTGTATGAGAAAAAAACCCCATAGAAGATACAAAACTGCGTCATCTGGGTTTAGTGAGAGGTATATTTGGGGTCAAAACCCCCTAGAATGTCATACCAGAACCTGCTCCAAACTGAAACTCATCTTTCCAGAAATCTGTGATATTCTGAATCTTCCTGCCATTAAAAAATCAAACCAAAACAGGAACAACTTAAACTAGTAAGAGCTTAGACTAAGATGGCTCAGTAGGGATGGGTTAGGTTATGTCTGCTTATTGGTCTTTCCCTGCAGTGCCTGGTGCTGGCCCTGGTCAAAGGCATGATGGTGGGATCCATTGAGCAGTCTAGTACAAGTGGGCAGTTTTCTTCCCAAAGGATATCTCTCTGCAGTTGAAAGACCAGATGTTGAACGTATGAAAGAAACGGGAAGAAAGAAGTTGTGAGGATGTGTTTACACAGGAGGAACAGGAACAAGCAGGACAGGAAAGTGGGGACACTGAAGAATTTGGTACTGTCAGAGTAATGCTTATTTTTGCTGAAATCCAGCAGCAGGCCAGGAACAGATTTTCTGGGAAAAGCTTAGAAGGCTACTGAGGATGCTCTGGCTTTTCGGGGCTGCATGTGCTTTGTATGGAGGCACTCTCTGGGCTCATGTAGTTTTTCACTATGTCACTGAATTCCTTTGGGCTGTACAGGCTGAAAATCAGGCCCCCACAGACTAACCTTATGAAAACTTTGTTTAGTAACAGTCTGGCCTGCTCACAAACTCAATGGGATCTCTGGGATAAATTCCTCTGGTTGGCTTCTTGTACATTCCCTAGCACCTTGGTATCACTGTTGTCACAAGACTTTTTTATTTTGAAAATAAACACGTACTCAGAGCTTGCATGTATCTTTGCAAACACATTTCTTGCTTTTCTTCTTGTAGTTTGGCTTCACTAACCTCTGCGCCTCTCATAGCAGCTCTGTACCGTGGAACGGCAGGGGCTATGTCTTTGCTAAATGTTTCTATAGCACAGCTGTAGTTATGATTTGGTGTGCCATGATCTGCTGTAATAGCCAACTCAGAATGAGGTGGCTTCTGAAATATAGGATCATGCACTGAACTTAATGCTTCAGCTCTGCAAAAATACTTATTTCAGCCAGCCGCTTCGGAAAATGAGTGATCCTTCACGACAGAGAAAAAGCTGCGCTAAAAGTCTGTTTCAGACTCAGCATCGGGAGAGGAGAGAACTTTTAAAGGGAATGGCTATTATCATCACTTTTCATTGCCAAGTTAAGATCCAGTTTTCCCACCACTACCAAAGGAAGCCATTCCAAGGAGAAACCCATGAGAAGTCTGTAGCTGTATAATTAGCGTAGAGCAATGTATTTTGCCCTTTTGATTTATAGACCCCTGTAAATTTTTCAGTGGAGGAATGGCCCTAGTAAGAAGGGTAACGACTGTGGCTTATCAGACACAGAAGGTATCAACTGATTAAGTTTGTTTTTCTCAGCCAACATTTCAGAGCCCTTAGAAATCTCCCACGGATACCTATGGTATCAGCAGGGTCACTCCCACTGCTACTTAACTTCATGCATCCCACGAAAGTCACTGATATTTATGAGTGTATCTTCCAATGGACTTGGACCAAAATCCTTTAGATTTTTATCATCTTTTTTGTTTCAAGAAAAAAACAAACACTCAGCCTTCAAAGTTACTGCAGAGTATTAGACAGATTTTCTGTTTGCTTTGAATCCCTTAATGTTGGAGTGGGTTACAGAGCGCTTACCTTGGTGCGGAGCAGGGCACCTGTCTCAGCACGATTCTTTTCAATGTCTCTCTCCCAGTGGATTCTGATTTTTTCCAGTATGTCGTCCAGGCCACTTCCCAGGGGAACATCAAGTTCTTCCAGCTGAGATCCAGCAAGCTGCTTGTATAACACCTTCACATCCTTGAACAAAAATAACAGACATAAGAGAAGGTGAGCCGGACAACTGAATGGTAGCTTCAGAGGGGCTCGAGGAAGAGCTCTTTTGGTTCCACAGAGAGAGTAATTAAATTTGGTCCCCAGAGGTGTCTGTACATGAATGATTTAGTGCGCTGGAGGGTTTCTTTTTCAGATGTGGATTTGCCTCACTTCTGCATGGGGAGCCTTGCTGGAGTTCCCCTCGGTGAAGGAGGCTGAAGCCCTGCACCATGGCACTGCCTGGAGCAGCCCTCTCGCAGCGGCAAGTTTCTCCAGCAGTTGGAGCTTGACAAACACACCCGCTGCACACCCAGGACCACAACTATATTGCACTATGCAATAACATCGACATGCATCTACTGGCAGATACAACAAGTCGTGCAAACAGCGGGAACTCAAGCTTGCAGCCTGTGTGAGCCCCATGTATGCTTCTGTCTGTGTGGACGCTAGATGACGAGCACTCTCCTTCTCTGCGACAGCATTCTGTTCTTTCTTCACATGTAAGTGCTCCAAAAACATGTAAGCAGGAGAAAAATAGTGTGTCTAGAATTGCATGCTTAAAGGTAGCACATCAGTTGTATACTGTGTTCAGGAACACAAGAATAAATGAGATTTGCGCATGTATCTGAACTGTCCGGCACCACCACCCTTTTACATCAATCTGCTTATATGTGTTATTGACATAAGCAAAAAAAAAAAAAAGTGGTGTAAAAGTATCTGGGAATTATATTTGTAGGCAGTGGCCCCTGACAGTGCCAGTACTGGAAAAAAAGGATGGGCAAGTATTTGTGAATTATGAACCTGCAAGAACGAAAACCTCAAAATGCACCCACTCCAAGTGCACAAAAGCTTTGAAAGGACTTGACATGGATTTCCTAGTGGGAGCCCTGGCAGAAAGAAAGGTTTGGATTAGTTCAGGGAGGTCCTTGGAACTTTATTGTGCCAGAGCTCAGCTGGAGTAATTGCAATAGTTGCTTCCAGCCTTTACTCTGTGACTTCTCTTGAGCAGCTTCTCCTGGTGCTGCTGCCATGGGAAAACCAGGGCCCAAGCTGGGGTGGTTTTGCAAATGCTTGGGTACTCCTAACAGGTAAAGAAAGGAGCATCCTTCCACCCTGCAGGGGCTCCTCGCTGGCTAAATGCAGAGTGAGAGGAGCTGCTGGAAAGCTGTTATTGTTGTTAAGCCATATATATGGGCAGAGAACAGCATCAGTCCAAATTTTCTGGTTTCACAGCAATCATTGCAATACAGGGAGGTTTAAAGGGGATCTTGTGTATTTCTATCAATTTTCCATTTTCCCTCTTATCTAAAACAACTTCCATCTTTCTCATGCCGTGCAGTGGTGCTGAAGCCACTGATTTATTTTCTGCAAAATGCCAGCATTGGGATTAGATTCGTGAAAGTAGGGAGGGGATGAAGCAACCTCATGTTGGCAACCCAAGTCTCCATATGCCTGCCATGTTGCTTAAAACTTGTGGTTGGAGAAATAACCCATAAGAAATGTAAGGTAGGCTGGTGCCTCGCTTCCGTGAGCCATCTTAATTCAAGCTCTCTTTTACTTTTGAGGCATCAGCACAATTGTTTGCTGTCCCTTATGTGGGATTAGTAGTAGCTCCATATTCGAGCCCCCAGCAGCAAAGATGCTGATTTGGGTCCAATCCTGAACCCCCTGCTGAAAGGAATAAACCACCTGCAGGCAAATAGTGCTGGTCAATGTAACGAGTAAGTGGTAAAGTATTGCAAAACTGGGTAATTTTGGGCTGCCCTTCCAGCTGCCTCTCCCTGTGACTTGTTTCAGTGGTGCCTGGTTCAGGAGAGGCTTGGTTTTGGGAACCGAGCAGCTTGCTCAGATAAGCAGGAGTTTTTCAGAAGAGCCCGGTTAATGCTCAGCGTTAAGTGCAGCAGGACCAGAGCTTGTTCCCCGCACAGGCATTTGCTCTTTACATTTCTGGCTGAGAATCAGACCTCACTGCTGAGGTGTCCACACATGTGACTGTGCAACCCTGTGACCATCATGTGGTGTCTAGTAAGAAATGAAGCAATAACATCTTTTCCATGTCATATTTATCAGACCAGAAAGAGTTAAAACTTAAATGTAAGTAATTTGATCATGCCTCAGAGGCTAGTGCTTTAAGTTAACAGGGAGAAATAGGAGCAGTTTTCAGGACAATCCCCCCACCCAGACATGGCAGGATGAGCTTTTTAGTGCTTGCTTTGCCCTAGATGTCTGATGCCAACCGGATGAGACAGGCACACGTTGGCTTTGCAGTGTCCCAAGTCTGCACTTACGTCTTCATGATTCTTTGACAGCAAAGTTAGCTCTTCCTTCATGCTCTCTATCTGACTCTCCAGATCCATTTTAGTTAAATTAGCATCATCAATCACTTTATATAGGGAATTAATTTCGTCTTCCACTGCCTTTCGGAATGGCTGCTCATTTTCATACCTGCAGAGAGAAAAAAAACCAAACCCCAAACCTTCATACAGCACAGCTGAGCAAGGAAAACCTGCTTTTTTTTTTTAAAATGACACCATTTGTGCTAATTAGCTCCTGTGTCCCAGACAGAGGCACAGAAACACAAAAGATAAGCTTTGCTCTCACCTTGTCTCGCTATATTTGAATTTAACTGCTGAAGTACCCTGTCATTTACTCAGAGTGTAATAAAACAGGCCAAGTTAGCAGTCAGTGCTATGGTGGTTATCAGCCTGATAGGGTTTCTGAATGAGCACGGAGAGGCGTGTGGGCTCTTGCTAGAACTGGTATTTATATACAGTATGACTATGGGTGCCTTTTTCTCTGTTTGCTTGGCTGTAAAATGAGAACGACTGCTCATTCATCTACATAAATCTTTTCAGAGCTACGGTTAAAGAAAACACACGCGCATGAAGTGTTACTTTTACTAATGAACATGCTGATGGAAGTCTGATCTGCGTTGCAGGGCCCCAGCCCATCCTTAAGACCAGATCCTGGTAGCAGCAAAATAAATAGGAAATTTGAGCAGTTGGTTTGTCAGCTAGAATCGCTGTTAAAGCACATGGCTTGTTTCTAAACCATGGCTACAGTGGTAGGGAAAATTGTGGCAGGCAGTTTCTATTGTACAGCACTTCTTGCTGTACCACCCTCGTTTGTGACTTTTCAGTTTTAGGCTTTCCATTGAAAACGTGGTTGGGTTGCATGGCGAATCTCCTTGGGTGGGAAGCTTTTGTGTCAAACCCATCCAACCTGGGGACCTGGTGGCAAGGGAGGTTAGACAGGGGGGTTGGCAGGTTAGGCGGGAGCCAGCTCCACAAACCTGAAGACCCGCACTCTGCCCCTTGAGAGCCACCTTCCTTGCTGGGAGTTCAACAGCCTGGGAAAGACGCAGCTGATCCCAGTGAGAATTAGGAGATTTTACTCTGCCATGGATTGATTTGACATCGGTTTTGCTATGTTGACTGCTTGTCCAAGTCAGCTCACATTTTTAAAACATATTTTTTAAAACTACTTAAAATATGAGTGTAGCTTGCTGGATGTAAAGCCACAAAATGAGTAGCTCAGAGTTGTACCTTTCTGAAATAAAAGGTAATCCTAAGAACATGGTTAACACATGTTTTGATACAATCAAATACAATAATACCAGGGAGAGACAGAAGTTTAAGCGATGATAAAAATCATAGGAAATAAAAATCAATTAGTTTGAAATATTGTTTGTGTGTCAGGTCTTGCAAAAAGCTATTTGCAAATGAACAAGTCCATTACGAATAAAAGCTAGAAGGATCATTAGGCCTTCTGAGTAAAATTTAAAGAGCTTCGCGCACTCATGTACACAAATATTAGGCTTTGCAAATGGAAAGATGTTAAAAAAGTAGTTTGTCGGTAATTAAGATCTTCTTTTAATATTCATTTCTGTCAGTAAAGACAAGGAAAATCAGCCCATTGCTGTTTTCTTATCTGATGTTTCCACACCGACATTTGTAGCGGTACAGTTTTTGCTTTTCAGCTGCTACAGTAGAATGATTTTTACTTCCAAAACCACTTGTGTGGCACTGCAAATTAGAACTAATAATAAGCACATGAATGTTTGCCTTTATAAAATGTCAACCCAAATTTGAATGAATACTGACCTCTCAGTAAGATATCAATGTCTGTGTATCAAAGAATAGCTTAAGTGATTTTTGCTAGTACACATATTTGTTACTATAAATCTTCATAATCTTCCAAAATAATGTTAGCATCCTAATTATTTTGCTGTTACAAAACCCCTCCCAAGTCAGGTGGTTGAATATTCAACTTAAAAGAATGAGCCCATTCTATTCCCTAAGCATTAATCCCCTATCGAGTAAGCGCTTGCCAAGGCAAAGTTTCAAAGGGAGTGGCCAGCCAGGGCCCACCACAAGACTACCTGTCTTTAAAATCTTCAGCACAGGCTTGAATGTTCTCGGTGTGCAGCATAAGACGAGCATTTTCAAGGACTGCTTCGCCCACCTAGAAGAAAGAGACCACAGAGCTCAAGCGATGAAGAGCTTCAGCACATTATCTACACGCACTGTACGTGAACCTTAAGCAGGTGTATAGCGTTGATTCTGAAAATAATCCCTTAGCCTAGGGCTGTTCAAGTGACTCATTCCAGATAACTTAATCAATTAATTTTGTACATATAAATTTGAAAATTCTCTGCAAATAGGCTGCAGCTTGTCATCAAACTGTTCATTGCTCCTAAGCATTCATCTTCTCGTGGAAACACATTTATTCTGATCGTCAGCTGGTTGCAAGGGGTAAAATTCATTACTGTGCGCAAGGTATGTTCATCATTTAAGTCTCACCTATATTTTCTAGATACAGTTTAAGTAGCACTTATGCGGTTCCTATTCTACTTCCCATATCAGCTGTCCTCTTCAGGGTCATCCTCTTCAGTGAGCCAAGGAATACTAGTTGTTCATGCTGCCTGCGAGCCGTCCTCAGCTCCCAGAGCCTTGTTCTTCTTCTCTGGTGGGATCCTGTAAGCTCTTGCGATAGATATGAGACCTGAGGAGCAGGCAGTCTTCAAAGATTATTACACTGAATGCGAAATGCTTTGGAAAGATTGTGCACTATGGTGTCATTGCTGTGGCTCTGGGGGGTATCTTGAGGGGTGAGCAAACCTGAAACCTGAAAGGGTTGTGACATACCAGCCTGTTGATTCGAGAGGGTTATATAAAATGATAAAGGGGTAAAAAAGACCACTGCCTGCCCTGGAGTCGCACATGCACTGAGCTGTGGAGGTGACCGAAGACGTGCTGAATTTGGTGCTAGGATTAGAGCAATCATCCCCTGCAAATAACTATCTGGGGACTCAAGCCATCCCGTGGTCCATGCCATCACTGAACAACTCTTTGGTCTTTCTCGGGAGATATGCGTGGAGATTTGCAGGTGAAACTAAACCACCTCATGAATAAGAGCAGCTTTTTAAGCGGGCCAGGAGAGTTCTTGAAGCAGAAATCTTTCCTTAGATAATTATGTCTGCAACTAAATGAGATTGCAAATCCCCTGAAGCATTTTGCTCCCCCGAGGTGAAACAGGCCATGCAATGTGGAGACATCAAGGCATCCAGACAAGTTATCTCAAGTATCGCAAGTGGGATCATCGCCTTAGTACGGTCCTACCTGCTCTTTGGCTTGCTGCTTGGTGACGGGGTGGAGGTGGTCATGCAAGGCTGAAGCATTTCTATGTGGTAATTAACATTCATCCTCACGAAAAGTGGCTTACTGCTCTAAATGTCTTACAAATGCTTGGACAAACAAATATGAAATATGTGAAGGCGTCTGATAGAGATCTGGAGGAATGACCTATTCCCCATGCTGAGAGGTCTATAATGGGTCATGAAGCTAAAAGCACTCTACCGTTTTTTAAATCTGAGGAGGCACGCGAGTTAAAACGAGTGGTTTGCTTACTTCTCACCTACTGTTAGGAAGAGAAGGAGAAGGTGGCTGTGGCTGGAAGCCTAGGGCTGGAGCTCCATTCCTGCCAGCTCCAGTTTGGCTTGGATTCCAAAGGAAACAGCTTATGCCATTGCACAGGAAGCCAATTTTTCTTTAACAACTATGGGATTTCTTGGCCAATTCCAACTGATATGATAGAAGCATAGGCCATCTCAGGGACACACAGTTCCAACACATCTCATGAAAATAGCATCTAGGCAAAGGAGAGGAGTCGTGTAAATACCACCACTGGGCAAAAAAGCCCCAGTTTAGTAGGAGAAAACTAGAAAGGGCAGCGAATGCTCAGGTGTCACAAAAGCTACAAAAGCCACAGATGTGGGCAAAGAGATGGTATCTCATGGCACATCAGCCGGCCCCGCTGTGCAGCACACAAGTACAGAAGGCCTTTATGTGCTCTCCTGCACAGAGAACTATCGCTTCTTCATCGTTCAACCCCTTGTTTCCTTCTCTCTGCTTCTTTGCATCCCTGCTTTACAGGCCCATCTCCCCAGCCCTTGGGTTCTCCCTTCTGCGGCATTTCTGAGTGGCCAAGCAGAGCTGGGATTTTGGGGTCATGCTGCCCTGCTGTCCTCGGGTCCCCTTGCAGGACCTGAGTTTCTCCTGAAAGACGGAGACAAGACATTTAGTTTTTACATGGCAGCAGTATGGAGTTTGAGGCAATTCTTTGACCCAAGCTCTGAATTTTTTTTCCTCCTAACGTGTAGAAAATTTACTCTTGAGCTCATTGGAATCATCTTCCTTTTTTTTCTTTCTTTTTCTTCTTCTTCTTTTTTATTTTCTTTTCCTTTGTTTTTTTTTTCTTTTTTCTTTTTTTTTCCCCCTTTCTTTTTTTCCTTAAGAAATTACTGCATTTTGTCTTCCTGCCAACTCGTACATGTATGGATCATCAGAGAAACTTTTATTTTTTTTCCTGACTCAAATCAGGGAGCATAAGTGCTGCCCTGTGGTTTGCCCTGCCCTGTCAAAGCAAGCCCATTTGCCTCTGGCAGCGAGCCCCTTGCGGTTACGTTGTCTGACCCAAAGTCTGATGAAAATGAACATCTTTGAGGGAATTGGGAATACCCCACGAGCAAAAGTAACATTAAATCCTGTGGGCTGCACAGTGCCACACAGAGATATGTTAATGGCTAAGTTTAGAGGCTGAATCCAGTGTAAAATGGCTTTTGGGCTGCAACAAAAGCAGAAGCAGGGAATAGCTGGTGATTTGCCACTGCCTGGATTTCTGCCTCTATACAGAGACAAACTTTTTAAAAAGTGCTTTTCAGTAGTAATCTTGTGGTTTTATTGAGGCAATTGAGGTGACTTCTTACCTGCCCCACAGCGGATGTCTTTCCCAGAACCCTGGTACCTTACTCCTGAGGACTCGGTCAATGCCTGACTCTCCTCTTCATAGCCCGGCTGCTAATGCCAGATGTTCTGCGAGAAAGTGCAGGGCTTTCCAAAACTGCACCCAAACCTGAACTGTGCCGTGTAAGTCAAAATGGTATAAAAAAAGCCTAATGTTTGGCAGGCTTCAGGGACGAGCGCTGTAGTGGGAGCCAGCAGGCAGTAGCCTTTCAGCCCTCCTGGAAATCAGCGGCGTGCGCTTTAAATCCAACAGTGAACCCGAAGGATAAATAACAACATGTAGTTTCTGTCTAGAAACCAGGTTTCCTGAAAAATTCTCTCTGATTTGCATGAGCTGTGAAAGCCCTTTCCCAGGCTTCAGAAGAAGAGATGTAAGTCTTCCATCTAGTGGCTTTTTTTTTGTTTGATTTAATTCTCCTAATCATCAACAGCTGGATGCAAGCACACAGTGTTGGTGAGACGGATTCGTAGCCACTTTGCTGACACAGGCACTAAAAGGCATGATGCAGCAAGTTAGGAAACACCTTTCTTTGCGTCCACTGGAAATGAGAAGGCTCCCAACGCTGCAAGCACTTGGCCATTGCCTCCTCCGCTTGTGAAGCTGAAGGCAACGCTGTCCTGCTCGCAGGGCTTCTGGGAGGCTTGATACACTGCTGCCTGTGTGGCACTTAAATTGCCAGGATGGGAAGTGTTTTAAAAATAAAAATATTATTACTAATAATAGCTCCTTTAAGTCAAGTATTGTCTTTCAACGCTCGCATCTGTGATGCACGTACGCCTTTTGAACGTGATTTTTTTTTTTTTTCTGCTCTTGAATTAACACTGAATATTTGCGGTATAAACCGTCTTATCTAGAAAGCAGTAACAATTTTCTTTGATTTCACTGTGATTTTATGGACATGAAAACACAATGTTAATTTTTAGCAAAAAAAACCTTATCAAAATCTGCATCAATATACCAGCCCATTTATGGGGTTGCAACTGGCAACAAGGAAAACCGGCTGCTTCAAGGGAGTTCGCGGATAAAAGGCAATGTGGTACAGACACTTACAGGGGCAACTTATCCCTGGTGGCTGGCAACTTGATTTTTAACAGAGAACTGACCAAGTTGCAAGATTTACTACGCCTTACAAATTCTTAGCTGTGCTTTACCACTAGCTTTGTATACTTTTGCTATCCTTACAAAGGCCTCATCCCTTTCTGAATGCTGCTGAATTCGTGGCCTCAGGTGTGGCCTGTGGTAATGAATCTCATGGTTTAATTATTCGTGTAATGGAAAATTATCTGGCTTTTAAGTTCACTTCAGTTAAAGCAAATGATGCCTCCATGGAGGAAGATCAGAAGATGCTGGTCTAGTCTTTCCTTCCGCACACAGAAAGAAATGGTTGGTATCAGCCCATCGCCTCCAACACATTGTAGTTCCCAGCTAACTCAGGCTAAAATCATGCATCCCAGTGCCCGCTGCTCAGACGCCAAGCACTAAACTAGTAACATTTTCAGTCATGCTTGCCATGTTGAACCCCTTCTCAGAGCCTGAAGGAGGAAAACCCAAAGGCAGCACAAGTGGCGTTTGTAGCATCGCCTTGGGAAAGGTAATACCTGGAGAGAGGCTGGGGAGATTGATGCGTCCTTTGCTGTTTCCTGCTGCAACCAAGAAAACACAACTTCGTTTATACATGGAATATTTTCTAAGTAAACAGGACTGCATCAAAACCTGCCTGGTTCTCAAAGCAGGAGATAGATACAGAAATGATCTGTAAAAACCTGTAATGCTGCCTAAGCACAAGGAGAAAACCTCACCCCCCCACCTCACAGCTGTACATGAAGGTAGCCCAAGATTACGCTCTTGGAGGTGGCAGAGAGGGCATAATTAAAACTAACTTGTCGCCATCTTCTGTATGGTGGATGACCACGCTCTGTGCCATTACGCGGGAGTTTGTTGTGCCCTTAGATCAGTGGCAGAATGCTATTTCACCGATTTACAGACGCTAAGCACGCACTGTGTTGCGTTGGAGTGTGTTACAGACAGCGCTCAGCGGCTCTCCTGGCCCCGCAGCAAAGAAATTCCTGTGTGCAAGTCCAAATGCGGCGATTCCTCGGGCTGCCAGCCCTGTATATTCACCAGGCTTAATATTAACACTGAGTAAACGCTGACAGTGAGGCCAGGTGCAAATAAAAGTATCTGTCCCCATAGGAAAACTCCAGTGAGCTTTCAAACACTCCCAACCATGCACAGGACTCACAGCAGCGATAAAATTGGTCCAGGACGCTGATTCCTTCTTCTGCTTTTGTGTTTACTCTTATGATCTGGACTGCGCTACGTGCCATCCCGTCGACAAAATAAATCTCCGCGTCTCCCGCACAGCCGTAATTGAACGGTCGTGGAGGCTGAGCTACCCTCTCCTCTCCGTAAACTCGCTGAGATGATTTCAAGCGCCCACTTTTCCCAGGTGCTGCCCTGCTCCATGGGAAGGAGTTGCCATTGCAAACACCCTCCTGTCCCGCAGAAGGAACACATTTGATTAGAGAGAGAATTTTCCACAAGAAGGCCGGGATGAAGCCTGGAGCAACGCAGTAGGCCCAGGGTAAAATGAGATGAATTTGTACCTCTGTCACATGGATTCACCTCCACAAGGATTTCTCATTTCCCTCATTTCCTGCAAAAATCCTCCCATTTTGCGGCTGTCCCAATTAGTGTGCGTCCACCTGCTCTGCTAAAAACCAGCTGCCCGGGCGGATAATGAACGCTGTGAGCTGGATAGTAGCTTCCCACCATGCAGCCCCCGCCAGTGGCCCCCTGCTGCAGTCGCAGCTCTGACAATCGCAGCGGAACACGAGTGGTTTTTCCCCTGAGGGATCTTCCACTTGTACCCTCTGAGTCACTCCTCGCCACATTTTTTACCCTGGCTTTGTTTAGGAGAAATGCTGGTACCCGGTTGTTGTTGCTGGGAGGACAAGTACCCAGAAATGTGGGATGCCGGAGCACATCCCAGGAAGGGCAGGAGGGAAATGGGATCTCTGCTCTGCTGGGGTCTCTCCTACCTCACTGTGGAGATGGGCATGTCACATTTCTGATTTTGGGACCAGAAGAGTCCATGACTCCTATGTGGTCGTATCCTTGTCTTCTCACTATCTGGGCTGGAGGAAGGGGCTCCTGTCTAGGACCCTTCCCTCCCTGTCCCCCCAAATTGTATATTTTCCTTTTCTTCTTGTTCAAAATCTGTTCCTATTGTGGATGTTTGGGTTAAACCAGGTGGCTGCTCAGGCAGCTTTCCACCCCAAAATTTTCACAACTGCTTCATAGGAAGGGCACTGAGGGGTTTATGGCTGCCAGGCCATCCATGCTGGCTGGACTGGCTGGGAATCAAAATGAATCCTCAGATATTGCTAGAAGGCTGAAAAAAGGCTATGTCGCATGAAGGCGGATGGGGACATCTACAGAAAATGTAAATAGATTTATGAAAATTACATCTAGAAATGTATCTGCCAGGTATCTCTTATTTCTATTACAGCTGACTCCTGAGCACCTTTTACTTTTCCTACCAGGATGCATGGTGGCAGGAGGGTGCTGACTTTGTGTGGTTGCAGCCATTTCTGCGGCAATTGATGTTGATGTTATTTTAGTAAGTAAGTGTGAGACTTTCAGTGCTGATGCTGGCATACTTTTGCCAATTAGCCCCAGGATGAATGAGTTAATCGGTATTTGGGCTGGATGAGGTCCTACTTTCATTTTTGGTTAGATGCTTAATATAAAAAAAGTGAAGAAACCTATTAGTCAGAATTCTACGTAACAGCCCAGATTATATCTGAGAAAGTAAAAACCCACTCAGTGATGCCTCTTTTATTGATTTAATTGAAGTGATGTGGAAAACTTCATGTATTCTCTAATGTGTTTTAATGGTTAAATAGGTATGGATGATGCTAATCTTTTTCTCCTATTTTCTGCAATACTTGCAAATGGTATTACTACATAGCTTTATCTTTCTCATTTTATATAGAAAGAGCCCAATATTCAAGCTAGATTTCATTATGAGCTGCTCCTAATTACTCATTAGAAAGGGAGGTAGAGGCAAGGTGGCAGGATGACAATATAAAGAAAGCAATTTGAATGAAAAATTATTACATGTGTAGGTTCATCTGCACTACAACGTTAGGGTTTCATACAATGAAAAATCAAAAAGACCTTCCTGAAGTATGGTCTTACTTTTTTGGTTTTAGTCATAAGCCCCAGTAGGTTTTACAGGTGAGGTCTATGACTGCAAAATGGGACACTTGTCCAGAAAACACAGGATGGCGACTGCAAAGCATTAACCTCCTATCTCACATCAAAGTCCCTGTCTACCTCAGTGAGATGATAGGTTGGAGGGTATGGCTTTTCGTAAGCACCCCAGATTCAGACCACCCATTGCCTTCAGCAGCCAGTCCCTTCAGGAAGCTTCGTAGGATTAGCAGCAGCAATGTCATTTACCCATACAAAAAGAAAGATAACAACTTTAAAAGTTGGTGCTTAACTGGGCGTTTCTGCTGACGTGATCTTTGTACAACAGCATATGCTGCCACATTCAAGGTTCAACCGACATTTGTAGCGTTCTGGGTGAAGACCTGCCCTAAAAATGCAGCGCACTGTAAAAACGCACCCTCTTTCCTACGCCAGAGTAAAACTGTAGTCAGCCCAAGGTAAAACATACAGTTGTCCCAGGGAACTTGAATTTGTCTTTCAGGCTTTCTGAAGCCCTGCTGGCGGCATGTTCTGTGCCTACACAAGCGCTGCCAGGAAGAGATGTGCAAGATGCTGAGCGCCGGCTCTTCGGGGTCCCGTCCACTCCTGCTGGCTGGGAGTCGAGAAGCTGGGACTCGCAAGGTGCACCGAGACCTCAGGGGACAGAGCCCTGTGTTGGCTGCTAGCAGGACATCAGCCTGCAAGGTCTTACTGGTCTTACTGGTTAGCAAAAGGACCTGCTTCTTGTCCACGAGGTCATAGCAAACAACATTTCGCACCTCCACAATAAACACTTTCCCGGAGAACCCGCAGCCTGTGCCGTACGGAGAAGGTGGGGGTAAGGGATGGTGGGGTGGCGACAAAGGGAAGGAGAGGAATCACTCATTTGTAGCCATGTAATTATTATTTTTAAATAAATAGAGCTTTTGAAAATGTGATTAAGCAAACAAGGGAATAAAATAAAATCTGAATTGCTAATTTAAAAAGAAAATAAAACAACGTGCTTGTAATGATGCCATGTTGAGGGATAAACTAATTCAGTCCTAGCAGTCTTCTTTTAATAATTTTGATGCTCAGTGTAAAAACCACAGCTAAGAAAAAAAAAAAAAATAAGGAAAAAACCCCACCCATTTTACTCAACCCAGACTATCGCGCCTTGGGGTGCATTTCAGTTGCCCCCACGCACAGAATGCCTGAGGCAATTCTCCTGCTTAACAGGCGTTTTCCACAGCACGCTGTGAAATGATAATGCTAATTACCATGAAGACAGATTTAAACCCCTCCGTCTAGGGCCTTGAAATCAGGCGGCATTCATCATCGGTACCAACCCTCGCTGCTCGGGGTGGCTAATGACTCGCGAAGCTCCCCCGTCCCCGCTGCTGCTGGCAGCGCTCCGGGGCTCACCTGATGGTAAATCGCCTCCCAGTTCTCCCGCAGCGCTCCCCAGCTGCCCACGCTGGCCGCTTTCTTGTCCAGGTAGACTCTGATGTGCTCCTCCAGCTCCTGGTTGACCTGCTCGAGAGCTCGCACCTTCTCGATGTACTCCACCAAGCAGCCGTTCAGGCTCTCGTAGGAGAGCGCCCTGCCCTTCTCCAGCCCCGGGGCCAGGGGCACGGCGGCGGAGGAGCTGCGCAGACCCTGGAGGAAGACGCTGCTGATGCCCAGGGCTCTGCGGGACACTCGGGTGCCCAAGCTGCTCACGCCGCCGGTGGGGACGGTACCCACGTAGACGCCGGGGGGGCTCGACAGGCCCCCCCCA